TTGAAAAAAGTCTAATGTGCAGTATGAATGGCCGTATTGGTTAGGCAAGAAGTAGTGAAACGGGAGTTTATCGTTAATTAGACTGTTCCAGGGGTGCGCAATAGACTAACCTCCACGTGGTACACCCTGGGCAACGTATACTCATACGGCAAAAAATCTATTAATCGACAGTTGACTTCTGACTTCAAACTACCATGATCCCACTGTATGCCATATTCGACTACTTCCACAGTACTCACCTTACCTTCTTCTCTACCTTTGTGTCTGTCTGTCGCTTTTACATCTGTGAATCATTCTCGTGTTTCCTCCCTCGACTTTTGTGACTTTGATATTCCTCCTCCTTCACTTTGTGAAGCCCGAAGTCAACCTTCATAAAGCCTGTCATTTGATATAAAATAAAATATAGACTGCTCCATTGTGGTAAATGAATGTTTGGTAACACTTGCATTTAAAAAAGATTATGACCTTTATTATAAGATTATACACTTTAAATGTGAAATATTTCCCGAAAAATTTCATTCGCTTTTGAATGTGCTTTGCTAGTTTTAATGTCGCGTGAACGTATAACGTGAGGCGATATATTATATTGTCACAACAAATATGAAGCAAAAGGAAAGTGCACCATTTACAGTACAAACAGCCAATATTACCGCGTGGTATTTCTAAGGCAATGGCACAAAAAAGTTAAAAGGTAGTTTTCCAAGCGTACGCAAAAGCGAACATCGAATAGTCTTCAGTGATGAAAATCTTGGTTAATGAATTCGAGTCGATCAACAGTAAACCTGTGAGCTCTAAATGAGTTGATGTGCATGTCGAAGACAATGCTTTAAGTGCAAGATTTTTAAATCTGTATAGGGATAAAATGAAGGGTTATTTTAATAAGGCACAAGAAGGTTCCAAGTCAAGTACCAATCACAAATTGAGCCCAACAAATTGCTTGCATGAAATGCCATCACGTACACAAATTTTAAATTTTAATCATAACTAATCCATAAATAGGAAAATACGCTTAAAGAAGTCATCATCCACACATTATATTTCTCATTAAGTTAAAAAAAACTCAACTTACCCAACACGAATTGAGGCTGAGGTTTGGTCGAAGTAAGAGACGAGTTATTCCCTTTTTCATCGCCATTCTCGAATGAGAAACTTCTACTCCGAAGCTCTGACGGATGGAGAGAACTTTCAGCGATTGGTGTTTTCGGCGAGGATTCAGTTAAAGAAGTCAGCGTCATTGTTTTTGACGATCCCATTGTAAAACAACCGTCTCTTCCCCCTGCTAGTACTATGAGATGTGGCATTGGAGCAAGGTGTTCCACTAGTGCTTTGATAGCAGTGGCTCTAGAATAGAGACTCCTCGGACGTGGTGTACTATGTGAGCAATCGAACGCCCCTCGATAACACTTGCAGCAGTAACAAGCCTTTCCACAGATGCATGGCAGAAAAAGGGGCTGATTTTCATCAGTAGAGAGCAGAAATATGACCCCATCGAATACATCAGGTGACTGTCGAGGGTTCGTGGCCAGGGTAAGAAGCTAGAAGAGAGATGACGTTGGAATAAGTATGAACAAAGTAGGACGTATATACTAGTGGTGGCAAAGTCAGCGTTCTTATTTTCGAAAATATGAACAAATTAATACAAGAGCCCACACGAACGAACTTATTGTAACATGTCTTCACAATGAGCACGAATTAAGCAATCGTTAATTTCCAATATAAAAGCCTCTGTGATGAAATTACGAAAGAAGTAGGCTATGAGCTATGAAGGCTATGAGCAATCGAGATGAAACCGAATCAAAACGAAGTGTGGATGCTTGCTACGTTATAAGAGAGAAAAGTAAATTAAAGATCAAGCGTAAGTCCCAGACCACAACGAATAGACTTATGTTATAAGATTACTGCTGTTGACCAGAGTTAACCAGTTGATCATTGATCCCATGACCTCCCACTTGATACGTGTATACGACCTACACTGGTGGAGCATACCAAAGCCTATTTGACAAAATAACTCGTATTCTACTACCTCTCCCTTAACAAAATTGCAACCAGTGCGTTTTGTTGAAAAATTCACTGGATGTGTGTGTGTGAGTGTGTGTGTCAATAAATATCACATCAGAGGCCTCTGACTTGGCAGCATATGAAAAATCTGACCATTACGCCACCGACAAGCAAGACTAATAGCGATAAAGCGAACCCCCCTCTTAACCCTTGGATTTTGTAGAAAAAAAAGACGTAGGAATTAAATGTACTACCAGTAGGAATGTAAAAAATCAATCCAAACCGCCACCCACAAATGATGAATAAAGCCAGACAAATGTTTGTATATGTAGGATACATTATCTATTCTATTCCAAATGGTACAGTTAAGCTCATATGAAAAACTAACTCTTGTCTACGCACTTGGGAGACAGCTGGTATTAGCTGCCAAATTTGACAAACACTAATACATCATAGTAAATAAAAGGAGTCAAAAGACCGTTGAAGAGACTTTTCATAATACACCCATTATGAATTGATGAGAAACTTTAATCCATTTGCATCAACCAATACGGTTGATTTTAACCTTCATTAAATTTGCGTCGATTCAAACACGCATGACCCCTGACTTAATAGATGCCTCTTTAACTAAACAGAAAAATACCAAGAACACCAATTCCCTAATACCTTCATGTTAGTTTTCAAATTCAAGCATCAATATCTTCTAACAGATGAATCTATTGATCAAACCTACGAAAGATCCAGTGCAAAGGCAAAACATAATTTAAAATGAATACGTTACAGTGATTTGTAGCCCTACCTAAGGTTACTTTTCATCACACAAAAAAATTAGAAACAACGATTGCACTTGCCCCATGGTGTGAAAGAAATGACGCTTGAATAGTGCCTAGCACTGGTGAGATAAGTGAGTCTCCATTGACAGAAGCAATTAAAGTATCAACCGGGGTGAGCAGAGTAGATGCCAGTGGCCAGGAGGAGGATAGATTCTGAGTCAGCCTTGGTACTGAGGATGGAGACGTCAGGAGGCTAGGACTTGTGACACCTTCTGGCACGAATCCGGCCGCCCGAAAGAGGTTGATTCCCGCTGTGGCTGCTACTACATCTGTGCAGATTGCGCACACTGCAACACGCAGACACTTATCGCCCTGACCCAAAACAGAAGATAGTCGCGACGAGAAAGTGTTTGGAGTCTCACCGACACTCCAACCTACATTGGAAAAGAGATTCTCAAAAACTAAATCCATACATCGGCCACTTTGATAAGCTGGACATTGGGGAAGAGGGAAGGTTAGTTGCATGGAAACTTCTTTCTGGTCCATAAAAGAACAAGAGAAATGACGCTGGATGGTAGATGATGGAGACGCAGGAGCCTCATTTTGAGATTCACTTCTATGAAGAAGGATATCCAAATGACTTGTGAGGCAGGTTTGTCGCTCACTCGGCATATAATCCATTGCTTGATAGCGATCATCGCTAGAAATACGACTCTTAATTACATTCAACTGCTGTTCCTTTGCACCTCTGGGGGGAGCCAAAACAGCACACAGACGAATGTCAGCTGGAGGGAGTTGAACAGACCTTAAAGGAACATTCGACGGTTCACTAGCAGGTGATATAGGACGACTACGATTGGGTTCGGATCTAGGTTGATGATGTGGTTGATTTCTTGTTTGCGCAAATGAGGATGAGAAAAAGGAATCCCCCAGACAATTTAAATAGGCAGATGCAGCTCGAATGAAGTGTGGGAGATTTTCCAAGAGGAGATCGAGAAATTCCTCCCTTGTGTATAGACGCAAACACTCTTGAAATTTTTGATACACCTCTATTTGATCATCATTACTTAGTACAGAGGTCCGATCGATACGTGGAAGTTGATCGAGATCAAGTGGTTGGCCGGCAAGAATTTTTGAAGAATCCTGCCACCGTAGAAGAGCATCTTCAAATGTAGACATATTTGAAGCCCATGCCTCTGCAACCAATAGGGATTTAATCGATTCCATAAATGGAGAGTCACCATTATCAGGGGGTTCTTTCAAGGCCAAAGAGAAAGGAATACGTGTATCATCACCCTGGAAGTTATGCCGATTAAGGAAATTATCATCCAGTGATTCCACACTAATGAAAAAGCGATCGAATTGGGAATGAGACCGCAACCGCTGAAGCAATTCCTTCGGAGACTGATTAGTAACTGGGCCAACATAGAGGAGTAAAGTGGAAAGGGCCTCTGGTAGTTTCGCCATATGGCGTCGCTTTGTCTCAGTTTTCCATTGAGCAGTGAATTGCTCAAAGGTCTCTTTGGCTACCTCCGAGCCCCATAAATCGATAAATCTTGCTACATCACCCTGATGGCTATATCGAGAGAGGAAAGTAGGCCAATCTGTAAGAAAACCTGCTGGGGAGAGAGAAACCCTGTTTACAAATGCTTCTCTTAGTCGCCTTTGATGTTCATCCTGTTCACGCGTAGCTTCCTGGTAGGACTGAAGTCTCAACTTTGATATTCGTGACTTATTGCTACTATTATCTAGTAACCGTGCAAGGGTGAGGAAAGCGAGCTCAACATTAATATTCCTATGCGCAGATGCCTCAACTATTGGAATTTTTCGGAAATCGGGAGATTTTTGTAGAAACTGAGTCACACTAGAAAGACATTGTTCATCCACTGTATCGCGTTTCGAAGCAACCACCACAATAGGTTTCTTCCGTTTAGAGATCAGAGTTAGAATATCAACCAGAAAGGTTAATTGCTGCTGTTGGAGATCCGGAACATCATGACAAGCTCGTCGACTCACATCATAGACCACAAGAAACCCATGTACTTCCAGAGGACCACTGTGGGGAAATAACTCCTGTTTATAGCGCTCTTCATGACCTAGTTGATCGACACAATAGTAACGCAGTTTACCCGGAGAACACAGTTTTATGGAAGTGCTACGAAGGATATAATCGTGTAAGCGACTGGAAGAATGCAACGAGGAGGCAGAGGTGACGGACACATTAGAAGGTGCGGAAGTACCCGAGGACGTATTTGCCATGGAAGAAGAGCATGTAGAGATGGTTGAGGGATTAAAGGGGAGTGAGGTAGTATCGCTAAGAAACTCCGTCTGCTCAATCACGCAAAAACGGACAGTGGTTTCATCGTCCAGGTGGCGTGTTACCGTGCCCCAATACAGCCAGTGGTTGGAATTAATTACAGGTCCATAAAAATCCGATTCTCTAAGCATCGATGAATGATCTTCTTGGTACCAGTCGGGATGAGAGTAGACGAATCGATTGCAGAAACAGGACTTTCCAGAACGTGGGTCACCAACAATACAGACAGTGTAGGTGGGGATCAGGTCTGCATCTGACTGGTTTTGACTACAAATGGGAAAAGACATGCTTCTGAAGCGGAAATTCGGCTGCTAATGGCAACAGATATGCCGCTGCCGAAGGAGAAACAGGAGTTGGAAGATGATTTTTTGTAGACCTGTAAGTAGTAATTCCAGTAAGGGAAACTGATATTCCTGTGTAATGCGTTTGTTGCTGGAAGAGGTGATGAGTGGAGGCCATTGGAAAAAACCCGAAAATTAGCGTTGGACATCCAGGATGACTGGTTTGACAGGCGCTATTTGATTGGCGCTCAATCAGGATGTCTGAAATAGACGAGAGATAAAGTAGAAAAACCACATCATATACAGCTGACTTTTGTTTATTAAGATTGTGTGCAATGAAACATAAATCACTCAAAAGCGATATAAAGCACGATCAGTTATTGGTGTATAAGAAAATAAAAAGGTATGAAATCGCAGTTAAACCCTTAATAAGAGTTTCAATTACAAATTAAAGCTGTATCCACCTTGACTAGATTCGAAAAAGGTACAACATTAAGATGTTTTGAAAGATTTGGCTTATTAAGAAAAGATAAGAAACATATATGGCAATAAATACAAAAAGAAACCATAAATGAGCCACAAATGCAAGGCCAAATGACTTTAATACAAGTAAGAAAAGCAAAAATAAAACAGCCGTAGGCAAAGCTATCTCAGCAACATCTAAGGGCAGTGCGGATATCCAACCGATTTAATATATGGACGATGTAATGGAGAAAATAGCTTTAAACTGAAAAATGATCACAATTGGGAAATAAAATTTGTACGGAAATGGGTACAACCAAGTTACAAAATAGTCGAACATTTGGAAATGTACAATGTTTCGATATATTTCACCCCAAATCAAGCTTTAAAATCTTCGCAAGTTTTCATCGTTAACATCATGTATATCAAATCAACTAATATTTAGATATAGAAAAATAACATACGTTTAAAAGACACAATGAAACCTCAAATAAATTAAACAATAAGAGAGAAAAGAATTAAAATGAAGAAATATAAGGAAATCTAGCAAAATGAACCAATATTCTCAAAAGGCAAGCATTGAAACTCACCAACCAAGGCAGAACCCTTAACTCATTAAAATATATTGTTTAACTGAGCTCTGTGTGACCTTAAGATAAATCATTTTGACCCAGAATCGAAGCAAGATATTTACAGAATTGCGTTGTATCTTTAAATGTATCACGGAGAATTTCTTGTTTATTCTAAAATAATTTACGACCTCAGATCAGCCAAATGTCCCAAAATTTGCTTTTCCGAAATAATCTGATTGATTTCGAAAATCCACTTGCATGCATTTATCGAAAAATACTAGTAAACGATACTTTCCCATCTTCATTTGAAGTTAAAATCTAGTAATCTAATACGCAATTAGCTACAATAATTGGTTTATGTTAATACGGTTATATTAATACTGGACTTATTGATCATTTGGTGCTTTGCAAATGGTGTTTATTCGAGACTAAGTTATGCTATGAGAATCGATGAAGGCGCTTATATATTTATGAAAATTATTTTATGTAATATTTGATGAAAAAGGAAAACAAAATTTTTCAAAATTCTTATTTTAGAATAATTATATTCACGTTTATTGTAATTTTTAACAAAAAATTATATGAAAAAGTACATCGATAAAATGAGGTCACCCTGTTTTCCAATAGTATTTTATATTTTCAAAGTGTACTAAGATTATGAATGGATAGGGTTAGAAAATATGAGCTTCAAATACCTAAGCAACTTTCACTAAGGAGAATCAATTGCTACTCGTTCACAAATACATGACTAGGTTTAACAATTTAACCGATTCCTTTAAGTTAGAAATTATAGCATTGACGCCCTAAGTAATTCTTAATAAATCAGTTGAGAATAATCTAAAAGAAGCATGTCTGTCCTGAATTTATAGGAGAGTATCTTTCCTAAGGTAGAAAGAATAAATATGAAATGTGTAAATAATCATAATCTGACAGTTGCAAACGAAATTTAATATCCATATAATTAGAATTTCAATATATACATGACAAATTATTTTTTCTTGGAATATTTAATTTTAATGATCCATTTCTTTTAATTTATTTCTCCCATCCCTTATTGGCTTCAGTTTTCGGCGCGTTCGATACCCTGCTTGTGCAAAATGCTCTCTGCTTCTAAGGCTATCTCAAAGGTTAGATATACTTGCTGTTAATGTACTTTTTAGTTCGCTCTTCCTATACTTCGACATGGGCGTTGTCTTTCGACCTCACATAGTCTCCTCGGTAATAGAATGACTGTCCGTGAGGCTATTAACAGCGCTTTGAAGGAAGAAATTGAATTAGACAAGAATGTTTTCATTCTTGGTGAGGAAGTCGCTCAATACGATGGTGCTTATAAAGTCACAAAGGGTCTTTGGAAGATGTTTGGCGACGATCGTGTTATGGATACTCCGATCTCTGAAATGGGCTTTACTGGTATTGCCGTGGGTGCCGCTATGGCTGGTTCCCGTCCGGTTTGTGAGTTCATGACCTTTAACTTTGCCATGCAATCTATTGATCAAATCATCAACTCAGCTGCCAAAACCCACTACATGTCTGACGGTCGTGTAAGTGCTCAAATTATTCAAAACTCTCCTTATAATCCTGTTTCTACGCTAATGCTTTATTTATGTTGTAGGTAAATGTTCCAATCTTGTTCCGTGGCGGTAATGGCGCCGCATCTGGCGTAGCTGCTCAGCATAGTCAAGATTTTGCTGCATGGTACGCCTCTGTTCCGGGTCTTAAGGTTGTCGCGCCTTACAGCTGTGAGGATGCTAGAGGCCTTACAAAGGCTGGTATCAGGGATAACGATCCTGTTGTATCCTTGGAAAATGAATTAATGTATGGTGTTGCTATGGACACTCCTGACGAAGCAATGGATCCAAACTTTGTTATTCCATTCGGAAAGGCTAAGATTGAACGTGAAGGTACTGACATTACTCTTGTCTCTTACTCAATCAGTGTTGGAGACTGCCTTACAGCTGCAGCTGAACTTGAAAAGGAGGGAATAAATTGTGAAGTGATTAATCTCCGTAGTCTCCGTCCAATTGATGATGAGTGTATCTTCAATTCACTTAAGAAGACCCATCACTTGGTTACCGTTGAGCGTTCTTGGCCATCATGCGGCATTGGTGCTGAAATTATTGCTCGTGTTATGGAAAGTGATGCCTTCTATAATTTGGACTCGCCAATTATCCGTGTCACTGGTGCTGATGTACCGATGCCTTATGCTGGTTGTCTTGAGGCTGCTTGTACCGCTTTACCTCCCAATATCATTACCACGGTAAAGAAGGTTCTTAGCCACAAGAAGTAATTACCTAGTTTCAACCACACAGGAGGGACGTACTTACGTGTCCTGACTTTATCAATGTATGCCGTTTTGTGTCTAGGTTACCAAATAAACGTAAATATCTTTCTATTGGGATGTTTTCCTTTTCCCTATTCTCCTTACTGGATTTTCTGTAGTTTCGTGATCGTGCGCCTTCGGATTTGCTATCCCTTGCTTAAGGTCAACTTAGATGCGATGGCCTTAAGGGTTAGTCATCGTTCCTTGCTGGTCCGTAGCTTCATTCCTTTAAAGTGGGATTCTTAAATTTGGTTTGTGTAATAAATCTTCAATGAAAACTGAATTTATTGGTCGTCTACCTCAAAATACTTCCTGCAATCATGCATGCTTTAGAATTCTATCACTTTACCACATTCCGACTTATTTGCTTTGGGAAATGTAATTCCTCGTAGGCTGTTATCTGGGTTTATGCAGCTTTGTTTAAAAGTACGAAGGTTCTGAATCTTGATTGGTAGTTCGCTTCGATGGCTACTGGATTATTGGTTATTAGTTCTTTACTATCGCATTTAGGTTCAAAATATGCAATGGTTCAATCGATCTGTTAATGAAGCTAAGTATCAATTGATTGATCGTTCTTATGTTTCTTCACCTGTTGTCTTAGTACCAGACGAAGTTCCTTCCATTTCCGGTAGATTCGAATAAGTTATTTAACCGTTAATGCTGATGTTTTAATCAATAAAATTGAACTTGCTCATTCACTTTTTACAGGCTCATATCTAACCACCAATGATTCGAATAACTAAGTCACTTTTGAATAGAGGTTCCAAGGTGCTATCTTCTAAAATCAAGGCTTTGGTAAATCGGAACATCCCCATAGATCATAGAGAACCACAACTTTCAAACCCATCACATATCAACTATTCTTTCCTATTTTACACTAGTAATTAAATGATATGACTGCTATGGAAACCCTATTTACAGAATACGAATTTTGCCCAATTAGATCTAAAAACTACGCATTCGATCGAAGACATTAATTTATAGGACTGGAGTGTTGCCTTATGTTCATAACTCCCTATTCTAAACATTCCTTAGTCTTAGGCCCAAATAGTCTGTTGCATTTATTAGTTAAGCCGAATTGAAAGAGAAAATCGCTAAGTCAAAAGACAATTTTTTTAAATCCATCGAAATAAATAGTTTGAATCCAGTTTTCGTAAACCACATATTATTAAGATACAATTTCGGCCAAATGGGCACGACTTCGTTAAGCTTTCCAACAGCGCTGGTTCAAGTATCCTTGTCCTCAATTGACCTCTTGGTATGCAGGTTACCAATGTGTAAAAGGCCCATGTAGGGCCACACTAAACGATCATCACAAATCAGCTGTGAGAAATCCTCTAGTTAATATATTCCCAATCATTACCAGTTTTTTCTTAGTTTAGTCCTTTGTATGTTAATAATACGATGTCTAGTCTTTTCACCACTTAAAACGTTTATTTTCGTGAATCACTGTCTTCTTTTTAATATTATCCCGTCAGAATGGGCAATTGGAAATAAGTAATTTAACTATTTACTAATTTCAATAATGTTCTATGCGCAATTTATAATATTTAATACACATGCACTACCAAGATTGCTAAGTATTTTTTCCATCACTCTTTCCAGCTTTCCATTTAATTGAACACAGAAAAATATGGGGTTTAATTGCGGATTTATATCAATAAATACACGACATGTTATGCACTGAATAGATGGCTAGAGATATCCTATTTATCCGAAAAAAACGACTTTTGTTCCTTCTGAAAAAATGAACATCGAAAGTTTAAGATGAGAGAAGTCAATATCTTAACCCCCTTTTCTATGACATAAAAGAACTAGTTTGTCCCAGCAGGTGAGAATTCAAATAAAAAATTAATAACTTACAAAACTTGGGTGCTCATTGACGATCTGTGCCCTCTTTGAAAATGTCGAGTCAGTCTCAATAAATGGGTTTTGAGAAAAGTCACTGCAAAAAATGTCAATAAATTAAAACCAAGTCGAGTTGTTTTACGAGCACAAATCCACGTCTTCTGGCAAACATACCCACCTTAATAAGCGTTAATCTACATGCTGTTTCTACTAAATTCTAGGCGATAGTAATTCTGATAGAATAATCGATAACTTGATTACACTCCGTTAAACGTAAGCACTTTCTTTTGACTAATGCGATTTCGCACATGGAATTTTACTGGTCCCATTTTAGGCATTGACTTCTGGCGTATAAATAATTGGATAATCAAGATTACTTGCTTTAAAGCAATTATTAGTTTTTAGCCAAGAATGTATACCTGAATGAGTCTTGATTTGTTAGACTTCAATACTATTTCTAACGTGTTCAGATCCGTTTATGTTCTATGAACTAGAGTGGCCTGTCCTGATGTAAGCGAAAGCTAAGGTTACTGGCAAAGTTAGCTAAATATTGCAGTTTTAAAAGGATTTTACAATCATAAATTCTAAGTCTAAATAAAAGTGCATTAGTGGTGAATAAATATGAGAATACTAATCGAACCTTATTTGGACTTCATCTGTATAACTCGGATCAATTTCATTAAGTAGAGCCTGGAGTTCTGGAACAAGCGAAATCCCAAGTGGCTGTATGAATTAAAACGAGATTGAACAATAGTTCAGAAATAATTGATTTGGTTCAATTATCAGACGTACCTTGCAGTACAACTGACCCACGGATATGCATATCGATTTTCAATGTACGAAGGATTAATGTTCAAAGAGAGAAGAAAAATGAAAGTCTATTTAGATTTAGGGCAAATTAATTTTGGAGAAAATAACCTAAAAACCAGTCAGAACAGATACTACTTTCTAGGCAAATTGTTAACAACTCTAATCGCATTGTCTAACTGCCAAAAATGGTTTTCCTGCGTTTAGAATGTAAACTATTCCTTACAGGTAAGCTACCGGTGGAATCGACGTAGCAGTTGACCTGACACGCCCACATGTTAGCCCAAAAAAAACTAACTACCAAAATAGCTACGTGACTGACTCTTTCAAATCTAATAACTTAGAAATAACTGCAATTTCATGCATAATGTGAGTTACAAACTCAACTAGTAGATGCACATCTTCCTTGACCACTCTTAATTACCAATTTGAGTGGGCGATACCAAGGGACTTATGTTGATTTTAGACATTTTTCTGTGCTTCCGATAAATGGATCTAGGCTGACCACTACAAGTGTGAGAGCATGCGCGAAGCATCATTGGCACAGCTTTACTCATGTTTAACTACCTATAGCCAACTATTGGCTTCAATTCATGTTTTTCAGATGAATGTCACAAATTCTAGACGAAAATCACATGTGAGTGTATCAAGTTAGGGCCCAGAAAAATTGCGTATTCTTTTTAACTAACTTCAAGAGCTTCTGTCAACTCAATTCTCGATAATTTCATATCATTGTCTCTATCAGCTTCAAGGAGAAACGGCATTAGGGAACGATTGAATTTCTGTTGTAATTTGTACAAAGCAATCAGCCATTTTCTTGGAGAATTATCCCTTGGAGCAAAGAGTTTAAGAGAAAAAAACTCTTGGTCGATTAAGGAGAGTCGAGAACCATACACGATCTTCAAATTTGGCAGCAATTCGAATGCCTGATCTACTAGATTTTTGAAATCCTGATTGACAGATATATCCTATTGGTTAAAAGGCAAAATGAAATTTTTAAAAGGACAGGTTTAAAAGTAATGTCTAGTACATTTGACTTCTAAAATGGACTTAATACAAATTCGTTGCACTAGCGGATATAGTGCTAGTGTAGCAGTTGTATTTTTACAAGTTAAAACAAAAAATCAATAAAAGCAGCATGATAACTTAAATTGCCTACTTACTTCGAAATTTATTTCGATCAATTGAGATTGCTTATTCATTAAAACGTTATTAAGTATCTCAATACAACCTTCAACTTGAAGTGGATTTCTCGCAAACTGAAAGATAAAAGGAATTGAAAATCAGTTTTTTATTTCAAACCGGCAAAAATAACGATTAAAAGAATAATGTCTACTTATGTGTTTTAAGTAACAAACATTAGGCTACCTTTATTTTTGTCAAGCATTTATTGGTTTGGAAGGCTCTGCTCAGGGCTTCACATCCTTGAACTGTAATTAAATTATCACTAAATCCAAGTCAACATTAAATGAAAGTTTGATGCCTTATTTTATGATTGAAAAGAAAGAGATAAACAAGTACCTCAAGTCAATTTCTTTGAGATATCGATTTGTTTTAAGACCCCTCATTAGTGCTAAGCATCCACCATTCGGTCCAATCTGATTGAACGAATAATTTAATACTTCAAGTTTTGATGCCTATTAAACAAAATAAACTAGATTAATGCACATTTTATGTGAAAGGGGCAAAACTATCGAATTGATGCCATAGTTACTAACCGCGAGACCTTTAGCAAATCGTTTCATACCCTTTCCCGAACAAACAACATTATTCCAACTTATATCCAAAACCTTAAGGCACTCAGTTTCACCCAGACCTCTGCCGAAATGGGCTACCGAATTTTCTGAAAATTTATTTTTAGAGATATTCAATGTGTGTAGAGAAGGACTTGTCTAAAATAACAACAAAATATGTGAATCAGAGATCCAGTTAAGGAACCATAAGTCTAATCAATTATCAAAAATTTTTAATTTTACTGACCAACATCAAATCAGCTATAAACGGTGCTGCAGAGTCGTCTAACCGATTTTCACTTAGATCAAGGAATTTAAGTTTAGGAGAAACTGACACGGCGTCACAAAGCTGCTCGAGCATTTTAGACGATATCTTGTTATTGACCAAAATTATTTCTACGAAGTTATTGTTCTCAAATAAAGTCTGACTTAAATAGTAAAGGCCCTACACAAATCCACTTCATCGCTATATACGACAGCCTTACATCATCACCCAACCAGTTGTGGCTCAAATCTAATTTCTCAATAGAGGTATTTCTGCCCAAACTTAATGACAACGGCAGAAATTCTTCTGGACCTATGTTTGCATAGCACATTTCAAAAGCTGCCGTATTAATATTTCTGATATAGCGACTAATTGGAAGGCAGTCCTTTTTGGAACATTCTAGATGGTACATTCCGATTTCATCTCTATTCTTTAGCGAAGATGCGAAAGAACGACTTTGATTTGAAAGTTTTTCTCGTTTTTCTAGAAGCATAGAAATTTGTGATTCAATGTCTTCGTTGTTTTCTTGACTTTCAGCATTGTTATTGTTTCGATCTTTACTTTTCTTCTTTGGTTTATTCTCTACTGATCTGCTCCTCGTTTTTTTAACAAGGGATATTTTCTTGACCTTCATATTGAAATAAGCTAGGGCAGTTTCCCTAACTTTTTAGCCTAGTTAATTTAACAAAACCAAAGGTGAATAAGAGTAAATTTACTTTCAAAATAATAAAAATAGATGCTCTGCCATTTATTATACTGGTCGAATAGCGATATGTTGATATATTAATTAGATTTATTTGCATATGAATTAGATTTTTTAAGTGATTGTTACCCTGTACGCGTCAGCCAATTTCAGGATTAAATAAAATTGAAAGACGCTATATTGACTCGTAAAATTTTAATATAGAAATATGGTCTTATTTTTACGCATGCCTCAGTTATACAAATCATAAACTCAAGTCTCCATATTCCTAAATTATTGTAAATAAACCATTAAGTGAATATATCTACATATCTTCTCCGACTACCTGAATCTATATTTCTTAGTAAACTCTTTATTCCGTTATATATATATATATATATATATATATATATCTACATATCTTTATATATATATATATATATATATATATATATATATATATATAATGTTGTTACACTCAATCTATTAATTTGATAAGAATACTGATGAAATAAAATGAACTCTGGAATTGATTTCTAAATACCCAGTTACATGCAAGGCCATATATTGATTTTGGTATAAGGTCTAGCTTTTAAAGCAGGTGAATTTTTATATTTAAAGATTTCATTCTCAAGTTTTTGGAATTTTCAGGTGCTAATGGTTGTGATCGAAATGGTGCCCATCAGCGTTCATAAGTATATCTTGGCTTGCAATAGCCCCAATCTATTCTGGTATGTTTGATTTGACTAAACTTAATCAACTACGCTAACAATACACCTGACTTTGCACACTCAAAAACCTGTACAACAAACCAATATAATTAATTTTCAGTGATATTTGGCAATTATCTAGCTTCTACAATCGAATACCTTCTACAAAGATACTAAATTTATACAACACTGTAGATATTTTCATCATATTTCTTCGGTTACCGAATGTTTCAGAAGATGAATTATTCATTGTTATAATTCACTATTAAGTTTACGCAATAGGTTCAAACCCTGTGGGAATTTATGATTATATTTTTGCTTACAGCTTAAAATAATCGAAACAGAAGTTGGAGAAATAAACACACTATGGGCTAAAATATCCCCATAATTTAGAAGTTAAGTTCATTAAAAGTAAGTGAAAGTGACACTGCATTCGACTCATCTTTGAAATCTTGCTAATTTAATGAATGCTTATCAATAAATGTGAGCATAACTTTTCTTGGATAAATTATTCTCTTTTAAGCAAAGCTTCCTAGTGAAGATGTTCAACCGTACCTTCGAGCGTTGGATCTTTCTTGACTCTTTTTTATGTCTTTTTTTGAGACTCCTGGGCAGCGTTCGGGCCGGTGATTGTGCTAGGCCTCCAGAGTTTAGAGTTTTGAAGGTGAAGAGTGATCACATGTCTCCAAATAAATCGTTTTCAGTTTAACGTTGCTGTTGGGCATTGATATTTAATGTGCTCTCACCTTGTGACAGGAGATCTTCACGTGTGTCAAGATAAATCTCTGGCGGATTCGTCTTTATTTAAAAAATAACTCTCAAGGAAGTGTTCAACAGATTCCAAAAGAAGTTATTTTCTTTGGATGGATGACTTATTTCAAGGACTTCCTTGTCTTTTTAACTGAATTGATTTTGTTCCAAATTGTCCCGAACGATTTAAATACTGATTCTTGCTCAAAGTTATTCTTTAATTTCATTAAAAATAAAAATAATAATCTCCATTCCTTTAGAAAGATCAAAAGACAAATTATTATCAAAGACTGCTCATTTTGTCTTAATCATACTTTAAATACTTTATTTTACTCTAAACTGGGCGAGATAATATAACTTGACTGAAATTTGAGCTGAGTTCATTGCTGCCTATTAATGGCCTAGATATTACCATTTCATTAATTTTACTTCAGGAAAATGCAGTTTGGTCAATCCAGGTACGTGTTTCAAGGGAGCTCATTCTGTGGACAAAAATTATCAGCCAAAATGGTCACCTAACAGTATAATTTAATTAGCCTTTAACAAAACAATGACACGAGAGTTGGACAAAGGTTTGGGTCAAAAAAAAAACAAAATACCTGTCTAGATAGTTTAGATAAACATGTTAACAAATAAATGACATGGCTCCATCGCACTGACTCGAAATTAAGCACAAAAAATGTCAACCTAACAGTAAACGCGTGTGAACTTCTAATTAGAAGAATTAATGTATTAGCTGAAACAACCTCTTTAAAAATTATTTTGTTTTGTGCTATTCCAAAGTTTAAATACTTGAGTGATATAAATGTTGTCATTGGTTTTTCTTTTGTGTCCACAGTTCACCTCATTTCATTATTGGTTTTTATGTTGGCCAATTTTAATTATTTTGAAAGCTCTTTGTTTTAAGCAAGTATCTCTGCCTTACCGAATTGAGCTCTTTGTGTTTCCGTTCCATTCAATTAACCCAAACCTTGATAAACGTTTTGGCTATGCAAGTTGATCAAGGCCTAATTCATATTCCGAGTTAGTTTTCTAAGTTACTGAGCTTTTGAATTAATATGAGATATTATTTAAGCTATAATGGTGAATGAGATGGAAGTAGTTTTATAGTCACTGAATTCTGTAGTAATGAAAAACAAAAAGTTAAGCTATCAAATGAAAAAAGTCAATAAAATTTGTACACTGGCATCTAATTGTACACCTTTTCCATTATATTTGGTTTAATATATTAACTGGAAGTGTGCGATAGATTTACCTCTACGTGATGCACCCTGGGCAACGTACTCTCATACGGCAAGAAAATCTATTAACTGGAAGTTGACTTCTGACTTCAAACTGCCATCACCTCACTGTATGTCAGATTCGACCCCTTCGCAGTACTCATCTTACCTTTTCTCTGCCTTTGTTTATGTCTGTCTATCTCTTTTACATCTTTGAATCACTCTTCTGTTCACCCTCTCCACTTTTAATCACTTTGATGTTCCCTCCCTCGGTGAAGCCCGAAGTCAACTTAAGGCTAATGATAAGTGTCAAAGCCCGCAATTTGAAATAAATAAACATGTTAAATGCATTTCAGCCCTCATGAATGCCAATGCAGCAGTAGGGTCTCAGTTATTCACCTTCTTTTCAATTATCTGGCAATGACTCAGTTAATTAGTATTTGCTCGGTGCAAACCTGTGGTTATTATATCCTCCCTGCACCAATTCCGCGTTCTCAATTTTGTGTACATTTGCTGTGGGCTATTTTTTGTCTTCCTTTTCACAACTATATCATTTGGCCTACTTTCACTTCTTGGCATTTCAATAAGGTTCTTTCGCAGAAACTACTGTAAAAGTGGTGACATCGATTTGCACTTCTACAAACAAGCACTTTTTTGGTAAACTCGCCACTATTAATAATTCTTTCGGCATCTCCGACTACCTGAATCTATATTTCTTAGTAAACTCTTTATTCCGATATATATATATATATATATATATATATATATATATATATATATATATATATATATATATATATATATATATATATATATATATTGGTTGTCCTCGAAGAAATAAATAATCCCCTATGGAGTCATCTTTAAGCAGAGGAATAGTTAAAAGACGATATCAAATCTGATTTTATCAAATTTCCATCTTCTTGTCGCTTTCTTAAAACAGTGAGTAGTATTTAACACTAAAAGCTACATTATAAAGGATATCAAAAGTGTTAGTGAAATCTCTGAACGCAGAGGGAGTTGTAATTATATTCTCAATAAAGACGCAATTAAATAATATATAAATATGCTAAAAATACGAATATAAATTGCAACGAGAATGTGCTAACGGTGAAAAAGGTGATCCCCTTGTGTTTTCCCTTTGAATAAGTCTATGGTAAAAACCCAATCTCTGGAAACTATCTCGATTTCTAGCTGAAAGGCTACTATTTTACATTGCACAAATTATCACTGAATTGACATTAACAAAGCCAGTCAAATTTGAATTGTTTGATTACTATGTGTTATGTATAACCACTCTGTCTATCGTTGTAAATAAACCATTCAATTCCCTTCCGAGATTCACTTATCCCCATGCATGATTGGTAACTAAAAGAAAATTTAAGTTAAGACGTGCCAATAAGGCGATATTTTGTACTTTTGTTCTTCGAAGAACACAAAGACTAACAAAGACTAATAATAGAGATCCATCGTGGAACAGTACTGCTCTCAGCCAGAGTTGACTGTGACCCCCAACTAGCTGAAATTTATCAAGAAAGAATCAAACTAGATCGAATTTAGCCTAGTCAATTAAAATAAACAGTACATTTATTTAGTTTGTATCAAATGGCAGGCGTTTTGATAGTTATTATTAGCCCTTTAGTTGGCTTCAGGCTTCACAGAAGGGAAGGAACATCAAATTGAAAAAAAATTCGAGAAAGGGGGGGGGGGAGAACAGAAGAGTATTTCAAAGACGAAGGTAGAATATTTAGAAAGGAATGTGATGTGAGTACCATGGGAGTGGTGTAATATGACATGCAGTGGGGTTAAAAGTGAACTGCCAGTTAATAGACTGGGTAGTTTGAAGTGAGAAGTCAACTGCCAGTTAATATAACGAATATGACATAGAGAAGTCAACTGCCAGTTAATAGATCATGGTAATTGAAGTCAGAAGTGAACTGCCAGTTAATAGACTTTTTTTGCCGTATGAGTATACGTTGCCCAGGGTGCACCACGTGAAGGTAAGTCTATCGCACACCCCATAGGTAATACATAAAAGGTAGACAATGAGAGAAACTTTTTAAATGAGGAAATAACCACTAAAAGAATTCACAATTTAAGTGGGCTGAGACGCCAATGC